TCAAATACCTGGGTCTTCACATCAATTATAAACTGGACTGGACTCATAACACCGACGCCCTGTACAAGAAGGGCAAAAGCCGCCTCTGCCTCCTGAGGAGGCTGGGGTCCTTTGGAGTGAGCAGGCCCTTAATTAAAACCTTCTATGGCTCTGTGGTGACATCAGCCCTCCTCTAAACAACTCTAAACAAACCAGTTGAGAAAGACTGCTGCTGTCCTAGGCTGCACTCTGGACTCAGTGGAGCAAGTGGCTGAGAGGAGGGGGCTGTCCAAGTTTACATCTATCATGGACATCACCCTTAACCCCCTGCACCAGAGTGTGGAGAAGCTGAGCAGCACATTTAGTGAAAGACTTTTACACCATGTTTGTAAAAATGAGTGGTACTGCAGGTCATTCATCCCTGCTGCCACCAGACTCTACAATGCAACACTACAACGGCAATAACTTGTGAAATGTGTAATGTGCAATTACTATTTAATAACCAGTGCAATGTGCAATAACCAGTTTCTTTATATTTGACACCCAGTGCAATAGTTATATATATAAATATCCATCTATATAAATACCCATGTAAAGACCCTGTGCAATAACCCTGTACAATTATACTGCGATAACAAAAACGACGTGGAAGCACTGTATATACTGTAAACATCCCATGCACCTTTTACTTCGTTTGGCACCTTCTTCTTCTCTTTTTGGCTATCTGAGCTGATGTAACGAGTAAATTTCTCCACTGTGAGAACAATAAAGTCAATCAATCAGCGAAAGGTGATTCTCAGAGATTTATGTTACGTTTGCCAAAGTTATTCTTAAATTTAATACATGAATTTTGGATGAATGATGAATTAAAGATGACATGCTTTTCTTTCATGAATTTAATCACAAATATTACCATTATATATCAGCTAGTCAGCCTTACTGTAGCACTACTTGGAACTATACTCTCATCATTCCTTTCTTCTCTGTACATGTCTGACTACCATTACAAGACATAGTCCTGCTATCTGCAGAAATAGTCAGATGAGTCTTAAGTAGTTTGCTGTATCAAGAAGCTGAGCAGAAGCAGTCGGTTATCTTCTTTGTGGCATGATATGGAAACAATCATCTGATCTTAAATGTGTATAAGACAAAAGAGATGATTGTAGATTTCAGAAGAAACATAAAAACTATGCCATCATGCGAGAAGAAGTGGAGGTGTTGTAGAAGTGTAAATACCTCTGGACAACAGACTAGACTCCAGTGTATACAAAACAAAATTCTGTTGCATACAGCTTACAACAATGAAACAGTGAAATGAAAATTACCATTCATAAAGTGCAGCAATCAGACAGTGTAAGAGAAAAGAAACCTGTCTAAAAATAATGGTGCAAAAGGGCATTAATATGAAAAGATTAATTGTAGTGCAAAATAAATATGGTGCAAAATGCAGTAGACATTGAGGTGTGACCTATTTAAAAGATTTTAAAAGTTTAGCACGTCGGTAGTACAAAATAATGTTGCAAGTGTAATGCAGAGGCCAGTTTAAAGTTTGGTAGTTCAACAGTCTAATGGCATCAGGGAAAAGTTGTTGCAGAACATGCTGGACGTGCAGCGGATGGAGGGCAGCAGGGAGAACAGTCAATGGTAGGGGTTTGATGGCTCAGTGATGATGTTACGAGCCCAGGACACGCAGTGCTGGGATGAAGGGAAAGAACAGACTTTTCAAAGGAAGCTTAAGTCCTTTAATGTTTGTAGTAAGGTTATGCATATCTTCCATAAGTCTATCGTGGAAGGTGATCTGAGGCAACAGCATTAGAGAAAGCACAAGTATAGCAATGTTCAAGTCTGCTGATTGCACCTGGTGTAAGAATTATTTCCCTACTCCAACAGGACAAAGTAACCTATTTCTGGTGGCCTTCTCCCTCTTTATCTGGGACCAGGTTCCGAGATTCCTCCTCTAGCTCCTCAGGGGGCATTCCAAGGTCATCCAAGAGGCATAGTCCCTCCAGTATATTCAGGGTTGTCCCCCTTCTCCGGCTTGCTGGAACATGAACACCTTCAGGAGTAGGTGTCAAGAACACACCCAGGACAAATGTCTGGGCCCCCCCAACTTACTCCTCTCAATGTGAAAGAACAGAAGCTCTAATGAGAGCACCTTACTGATTGCAAACTCCTCAGCCACTTGTATCCAAATTTTATGGCCATGAATGAGGGGTAGGCGCATAAGTCTAGTGAGCACTTCCCCTTTTCACCACATCATACATGTGCAGTGTCTACAGTATATTACAGTAGAAGCAGTACCATTCCATGTGTCAATATTCTGCTCCTTTCTTCTACACTTGTGAACAGAACTCTGAGCTACTTAAATTTCTCAACTTAAGGCATGAATTAACCTTTGCCCTGGAAAGGGAAAGCCACCATTTTCTAGTTGAGATCCATGGACTCAGACTTTGAGTCTTAAAGCAGCATAGCACAAGTTCTAGAGTTTTTGCAGACATTTGCCCCCTCTGGTGACAACTTAAACCAGTCTCATGCAGTTGTGTGGGAGAGGAGAAAAAGCATTGCTGTCTGCCACTGCAACTGCACTTTTGTTTAGAGGTTTAATATCTTCTGAAGTAAGACATTATAAACACTGACGTTAAGTTGCAGGACAAATTTGATCTTTTCAGTAACAATAGGGCCAAACTCAGGTCCCTTTTAATTCCCAGAGCCGATCTGAGCTCTCATCCTTTTTCGAAAACTGCTGCAGTCTTATTCTGTGACAGAAAAAACTCTAGTTTGGCGCTTTTCATTACACTAGAGTATGTGATAGGGTGTAAGCTGAATTTGTGGCTGGTATTTTGTGATCCATCTTGAAAAACCGTTGCCTATGTGTCTCGCTAATCCATTAGTGGCTGCGGAGTCTAAACGAAGTAGCCAGGTGAACAAGAACGCACAATATGTCACACATACATGCTCACGTCTAAAGCATATGACCCAAATCACTCTGTGACAAATTGACAAATGGAGTCTATAGCGTTAACTGCAACAAATAGAAAATACATTTTACATGTTGCAAAATGGGTGTGTATGGAAAAGAAAAGCAAAAATTTTATAAGAAGTAGGGATGCACGATATTGGGATTTTGGCCAATATCCGATATTTTAAAACTCATGTAGCCGATAACCGATACCTATACCGATGTTAAAGATGGATAGATATGAGTAGTCATTGAAAATAGCAGTTTTGTTATCCATTTCTGACACTTTGAAAAATAATATACTCAAATATATTTTCATATGCTGATATCAAATTGATTTTTAAAAACGAGGTATCGATCTATTTTACTTTCAAAATCTCGTGAAATTTCATCGTTCTGTTACAAACTCTCGTGATATTTTGCAAATTCTTGTGAGATTTTGTCAGTAAAATAGATCGATACCGCGTCAATATATCAACATATAAAAATATGGCAAAATTTCGTGGATTTTCGGGGGATTTCGTAGCATAACGATGACATATAGCAATATTTCATTAGTAAAAGAGATTGATATGGTGTTTTTAAATGGCAATATATCAGCATATAAAGATATTGTGATATTTTAATGTATCAATATTTTTTTTTAAAGTTTTTAAGTCTGTAAAAAAGACGTTTTTGAGGAAGAAGTAGTAGTATTTTTTTTTTTTTAGACTTTAGAAACTCAGAAGCTGATCAAATATCGGGTTAAATATCGGTGGGGTGGCCGATGTCCGATATTCAGATTTAAGGCCGATACAGGCCGATACCGATAGGGGGCCGATTATATTGTGCATCCCTAATAAGAAGGGTTTGATTGCTGTAATGTCAAATGTCAAGACTATGCTATTAAGTATAGAACTGTTTTTCAGTCTAAAAATATAAAAAAACTAAACTATTGTCCTAATGTGTCCTGATGTCTCGAGTCTGAAAATTTTGCCGTTGCTTCTATTGCACCTTCAGTAGTTTCCAAATCAGAACCTGATAATACATTCACAAAAACAATGTGAATAATTTTAGTATACTGGATAAGATATGTATCCTCCCATATTTACTGCACTCTGTGTAGTTTGAAACAAATGACTTGTGTTCTCTTTTTATACCACACAGGTGTTTTAGACAGGTCACATGTTTGTCTAATATGTAATAGAATGTTAAAATGGGGACATTGAGGACAACTGTCCATGCTAGTTTCTTTGCACTGTGAAGCCAGACCCCCTCTGCAGACACTCCCACAGACACAGAGGCATCTCATGTCCCCCTGCTGTGTTCAGCATAAGATTGTGAGACTGCAATCCTTACTCCTGTTTTACAATGGCTCTCCAAGCAGGCCACATTGGGGAGACCCACTGGGACCATGCAGGTCGCAAGGAACAGCATCCAAAGACTTGTAAATGCAAAGTGGACCTGGCGGTGAAACTCCGAAAAAGGATTCTGCCATACAGAGTTTCTGTATTTCTCTCTCAGGAATGATTTGGTGGTAGCAAAGTCTGGAACCATGAAGTATCTAAAAGGACAAGTGGGTCCTGGCCATCTGAACACAGACCCATTCAACAAAAGATTTTATACTTCAAAGCCTTGGATAAGATCTTCACCATTCATATTGTACAATCCTTTGCCATTGGGATTTTAATAGTTTTCAACTCTACCTTTTGGATGAACTAAGGCTAGCCCTTATCAATATCAGTACCTTCCACATTTGTTATTTCCTCAAAAAGCATTGCTTAAACTTTTAGGAAATGCATTCATGGAAAACCATGTCAATCAATTTTTTTTTTTTTTGGATAATTTAACAATAAGCATTAAACATGCAAAGTTTTTTTTCTCCTTCTCAAGAGATATTTTTGGTCTTTTAGTATCACTCTTTCACTTAAGGAACACACAAAGATGCAGACGTGCATCTCTTTGTGAGTGTAGCACAGATTTAAAAGAGCTTTGAGTTGGATTAAATGATTATGTGCATAAAGGTTCTTTTTTCTTTTCCGCTCAATGTTAAAATGTTGAAAAAAAAGATGGCAGGACTCACAAGGAGGGGTCATGGACGAGATCTTTGAGGTTGATGCCACTGCGGTCCTCAGCTAGGTTCCGATAACAGCTGTCACTCACTGAAAGACAGAGAAAAATTGTGAAATGTTAGTTGCCGTAAAGACCCAGTGCAATACACAAGCAGCAAGACATGCTGCACTATGATATAAAAAATAAGGAATGATTCACTGCTATGCCACAGAACTTTTCTGTGAAAATCCATAGATAGATTGATAGATCAATCAATCGATAGATAGA